GCTACCTTTCGTAATATAGTTTATCTAAATATATATATATATATATAATCTATAATATATCCCTTTCATATATATATATCTCTTTATATATTTAAAAATAAACTAATATATCTGATATCTATTTCCTTATAATATTATATATATATTTTATATTATATTTATTTGATTTATATTTTTTAACTAAAATATCACGTCATCGGCGATATTATCCCTTAAGAATGATATGGAAATGGGAGAAATTATAGAATTATATTTCCTTCAAATGGATATATATGTATCAATCAAGAATTTCAAGTTCATCCAAGGATTATGCCAACTAGATTCAATATGATTCAATATTTCAATATCCTCAGGCTCAGACCCTCCAAGGAGGCGCTTCGAATGCTTGTGCCTTCCACTTCGCGGCGGCACCTGGGTCGCCCAATCCGCTGTCGGGACAATCCAAGGGTGTGGTGAAGAAATCCTTCCTTCCTTCCTGCCTGCCTGCCTTCCTTCTTTCCTTGCATCGGCTTTCTTCCAAGCATTGGTTTCCTTCTGAGCATCGGCTTCCTTTGGGCCCCTTTGTCTGACGTACTCCAATGACACCCGAAATCATAAAAGGCTGCTGGAGCCCACAGTTCATTCCAGCCAACAGCCATACTGAATCATCCCATCAAAAATCCATCAAGCAACTCCAATCCGCTCTCTCATCCGTTCTCCACACCTACTCGCCCAAATGCACCCCATCCGGACATCGCGCGTTGGGAGTGGTCGGAGAACGGCAGCTTGCCTCGTGCCAGCTCCTAAAAAGCCCCTGAGCTTCCAGCTGATGTGCGGCTTCTCCGGCAAGATCTTCCTGCAGATCCGAGACCGGCGCGTCCGATTCTCCGTCACCCTGCCTAGTGCGGGAAAGCCTTGGCTTCGACTCAAGGGACGTGACATGACGTAGAGACAACACAATTCCAGATGGAGCATCCGTGCGAACACCATCTGCACCGTTTCACGAGACAACACAACGCGAGTTCATTTCGTAGATGTTGCACACCAATTCCATTTGCTTTGGATGCTCATGACGCAGTCAAAGCAGAACAGCAAACCAGCCTCTGAGGCCACACGCGCTTCGAACGAAGCAGTCCAGCCTGCGGGTGCGTGGGACCAAGTGTCTCTGAATCTTGAGGTCATTTACTTACATGTTGATGTCCTGCGTCGAAAAAAGTAATCCCAAAAACCACGCTGCGCAATCCCAGCTGCGGTGACTGGGACCTGGCATCAGGAACCCCTCCCCCCAAAAGATGATTCAAGGACGTCATGTTCACCGAAAGTGAAGTGCTTCATGTTCAGTCAAATTGAACACATTGATATTAGCTAACCATCTTTTTTTACACTAGCTTTGACCTAATGCTTCTAGATTGAATGTTCTCGGTGTTGTAACTGTTCGGTCTGCTTTAGTTTCCTTCCCATGCGTTGTTCATGAATTCTCTGCACCTCTTGCACTTTCGCATTGATAAAGTATTCTGCCAGCCACCCAATTCAAAAATGGCTGCGTCTCAAAGAGATGATAACCAGCGCATTGATTGTCACAGAAATTTGTTGTTCACTTCCTTGGGTGGACTCATGGTATATGTTGCCACTCATTGTCTTATTGTATCACATGTTAGCTAAACATATCAGAGAAATTGAAATATTCCTCAGAAACGTCGCTCTAGTCAATCACAGTCAGTTGGAAAACCTCCTCAAACAAATCAGTCTAAATCTCCAAACATCCCTTTGTGGGACTTCCACCATGGAGTCCCCCCCCCCACCGTCCTCCCTGGCCTCGGTGAGGGCCTTGCTGAGTCCAGGCTTGGCAGCCCGATGGATGCGCTCAGCCCTGCCGTCGGTGGCGCGCAGCGAACGGCGCGGGCGAGGCGAAGAAGATGCTCCGTGCTTTGGGTTTCGGGGAAACGACCGCGTCTGCCTTCGGAAAGGAGATCGAACTGGAAGAGGCGCCTCAAGAGTATGAGATATGATGTTTGCTATGTCTTAGTCGTGGTTGTCGCTTTGCGTAACGATCCTTTTCAGGAGAACTTGAATCCGATCTTCGCGGCTGAGCTAACTTCAAATAAAGCTGCGTGGTCAATCCGAGGGACAGGGCTAGCGGCATCTTGTCTTGCTTTGCATCCATGCTCTCTGTTTGGCAAACCGAGCTCAGCGAGCTTGATCCTCTGGGTGTGGGAGCCCAACCGAGCAGCTCAGCCAGTGTACCCTCCCTCTCTCTGCACGGTGCACGGCTTGCTCTCCAGCCGAGGTGAGGAAGTGAGTCTAGCAATTTTCTTGGGCCCGACAGCCAGAGAGAGAGAGAGAAGGCGGCCTGAAGAATTCTCGTTTAAACATGTTCACACACTGTTACTGTTACTGTACAAACATGTACTAACCATCCGAATCCTAAGAACTTCACATCAAAGCTGCAACATTAGAAGCGGAACCGACTCATACACAACCCTTCTAGTATAGTAAAGCCACATCACCGGCGTGTTTTGTGTCGTTTTTGGGCCACCTGTCACGCAGGTCCATCTCGCGGATCAGCTCAAAACAGATCTGATCCTGGACGGACAGGGGGGCAAGTTGTAGTGAGTTTCATGCAGACATGCTTGGCACCACAGGGCAGTGGTCTTTGTGGAAAAATGCCCCAAACAAGATTGGCCAGGAGGAAAATGGTCTGCAGGGGAAGGAGAGCCCAAAGTACATCGAAAAAAGTAGACGCTACAAGTTCCTGCTAGAGCTCTTGCCTTTTTGCGCCAAAGCCAGTGAAGTTTCCGCCAAAAATATGTATCTATATAAACGGTGCTGCTGATCCATATTTAGAAAAGGGCTTCAAGAGAAGACACACCTGTTCTTTATCCTGATTTAGCACGGGCAAATGAGCTGTATGTCAAACGGTCACGAAATAGGCCTTTCAGACATGGCCAAGTTTGGTGTCGAAACATCAAAACCGCAGGCGTTCAGCAATGTCGGACTGTGAATCAGTCCAGCCCGTAGGTCTTCATGACTGCAACGTCGAGTCTAGTAGACCGGAGAGTCTCTCAAGTAAGTTTCTGTGCAACCTGTCATCCAAATGCTCCACCATCGTCCTCCTTGTTGGGGTGGATGAACGTCCCTAGTTCAGAACTCTACATCGCCAGCACTGCCCACCGCCACGCCCACCGTGATGCTTGGGCTCGAGAACAGGGAGCGCCTGGCCGGGCGACGTTTGGAATGGCTGAAAATGGTGGCCAACGCCATGTCCGAATCACGGGTATGTTCCAAAGCACCCTGACCAACGACCCTTTGGGTACACCGATGCTGGGAGGGAATCTGTAAGGGGACGGGGTCCCCCTGGCAGATTTGCCGTTTCAGTGTTGAGAGTTGTCGCAGCTGTAGAAACCATGGCAGTGAGAAAGTTCTCCAAACCAAACATGTTCAAACACTACGTCACTTTCCAATACAAGGGTGATAGGTGGTAAATAACAAGTGATAAAGTTAGCCACCTTCCGCCACCAACAGGATGTTAAAACCAGGATTTTTGCAGCAGCCAGCCTGGCCGTCTCGTGCTCCTGGCAGCATTCGATCACAATTCGTTCCAGCTCCTACTGGGTCATTGAAAACAGACCCAGAAGCCATACAGGCTTCACATGCTTCACTGCTTCGCCATGTCAGTGTATCTCAGAGCCAACAAAGAAAGGCCCCCTCACTCGCCCCAATGACGCGAGCCATTCCGATTCCGTGAGCTTGCTGTGCCTTGCCCATCTCTTCAGATTGTGGCCGACCTCATCGAAGCTCCGGATCGTGCGTCGCGCGGCCGCCGGGCCCCCAGAAATGGCGTCGAAGCAGCGAGAGAGCTACATAGCTACGACTCCAAGATCCAATACTCCCTGTCCTTTCAGCGACTTCCTTGTGCCGATGGGCTCCGCCAGTTGTGCTCCAAAATTGGCTCCACCACAAAATCCCATCTCCGTGCAGATCTTCTACCCCCCGGGTGAGCTGCGTCGTTCCACGCGAACGCAGGTTTCTCGTCTTCGAGATGTTCTTCCCCCGGGCGGCGGGCGGGGAGTCTAGTTGATACTAGTAGGGAAGGATTCCCCCATCTTAAAACGGATTTGACTGTTACTGGATGTTACTAGTACTTCTCATGACTTGTGATTGCAGTACATCACTTCTGGATGAGGTCCTGGGCTAGGGGAAAGAGGGAACAATCCCAATCTTGGCCCGAGCTTCCCCGGCTGGGGAAGGGTCCCTTCCGACGTCGCTCTGCCTCTTCTTCCTCAGCCGAACGACGAGGGATGTCAACCGTAGGCCAAGGAGGGTGGCAACAGCCGTCTCTCATGCACACTTGTACATAGTAGCGCTGATGCTCTTTCACTGGCAGTCAATTCTTAGCACTTTCCCAGGGGGAGTGGTGAATGAACCTGCCAAGTGGCAACTGCCAATCTTCGCGTCTCAAACAAACGTTTTTCCCAATTGGGAATCATGGCGGTGCTTCTGAGAAGCGCGGTTTGTTCGAGCGCCAACGATCACTTTTCCCTAGATCCTTTGACCTGAACTGTCCCAACAAAAGAATGAAGGAAGTGCTCCTGTTCAGGGTAGGTCCTGGTAGGTCAACACCTTCGAAATCCTACTGTTCTGATTGAAACGAAAAAGAACGCATCTCCGATTTGACACGCTTGGCATCGGGGCCTCTTGGAGCCAAAAGGCTGTGTTGGACACGGCTCGACACGACCAAAAAACGGGGATGGGGATGGGCGGAGTGATATGAAATGAAACGATGTCAAGGAAACCAGAATCGAGACATCCCAGCACGAGGTCTCGAGCACCACCCGGATGGGTGCTTGATGGAATTACAGCAAAAATGTGACAAAGGAGTCAAAGGAGTCGAAGAGATCACTGTCTTCGTTGACTCCCCCATCCGGGACGGGGAATGATTCCCGTGGATGGACGGCCGGAAGCAACCAGGTCAGTGATCCCATCACAAGTTACGTCCACGTCTTTGTTGGTTTTCCCACAGCCTGAACATGTGATAAATGCTAGTCCAAAAGAAGCTATTAGAAACAAGTGCACCGCTACTAGTAACAAGTGCCTTACTAGAAGTAACAAGAAGCTAGTAAGGAAACCCTTTTGAAGCGAAGCTTTTTGAAACTGGAGTACCAGTCTATCTGAGCACACACTTTTCAGCTGAATGTCACTGTGGCTGTTGGTGAATTCCGGGCATGTCTGCCTTCAAACAGCTACAGTATGAACCTGACTGAAGTGCACTGTCAGTGATCTCCAGCATAACTTTTCGCACATGTCTTCGTGCCATTCTGGCCGGGAAAAAAGACTGTGTCAGCCAAGCAAGTGAGCAAGCACAAGCGAGCAAGCAAGCACGGCTTCCCTCAAATTGAAGGTATTCTCCTGGCTTCTGAAGTTCTGGGATCTACGCCTGCACCAAAAATAATACGTGCAGCAAGAAGCTACTAGTAAAAAGGGCATCGCTACTAGTAACAAGAGCATCGCTATTAGTAGCAAGGCGCTACTAGTCTTAAGTGATCTTTCATGAAGGCCAAGCTTTGTCAAAACCAACACTTGCTACACGCCTTGACATGGCATCTCCGCAACTGGCGTGGAAGCCTGGAAAAGAACAGTGCAATCAATGGGGTTTTGGTCTATGTAGAGTTTATGTTCCTTCTTCAAGCTTCAAGGAGATCTTTGAGCCAGTTCAATATGTTCAATACACAGCCAGATGCCTCAAGTGCAGCTGTGGCACAACAGTTGAGCCTGGCCACTGCTGCAATTGCTCCATGAGATCCTTCACGACCTCCGCCTGAAAAAGGCAGCCGCTCGGCCGAGAACAGCCGGTGGATGGCAGTCGACACATGAACACAAAGCTGGGCCGCCTGTGAGGCGTCCGGCATGGACTTTGCATGCAAGAGGTGTGCTCGGGGCCAGGCTTGTGGCTGTATCTTTGGCCTTGTGTCCACTGAAAAGTGCAGTGGCTGAGCGAGCTCGGGTCCTGTCGGCTGGTTCCAGAGCTGCAGTCGCTGATGCAAGGGTGGATGTTGCAAGCCCTGATGCGGCGCAGACGAGCCTTGTGCTGGTTGTCTTGCCTCCGGAGAGTGTGGAGACATCCCTGGTCGAGGTCCAACATCCGGTGAGTGTGTGTCTGTGGTGTGCATTGACGGCGCTTGGAGGTGTGGAAATCGCACTTTTGGCGATGGCATGTTGGGTGACTGGACTTGCAAATGCTTTGGAAAGTGGGGATGCTGTGCCTGTCGCAGCAGCCTCTGCAAGACATCGGCAGATCGAAGCTCCAGCAGTTTGGGCTGCATCAAAGGGACCGGGGAACAGGCTCCAGAATCCCGCTCCTCATCATCAACTACAACAGTTTTGGACTTGTCTTCGGGCACATGGCTGGAGTCTGACTGGCGACTTCTCTCCGAATCAGCACATTCCTGACAGGTTTTCAAGAATCCTTTTCAGATCTTTTTAGAGACATGGAAATGAACACACATTGGTCCGTTATGAGCACTATATAAGCCTACTAAGCAATATGAAAACCGAAATCGACCTGTTCAAACTTCGTCACTTAAAGAATATCCCGGTGATCCTGCGACACGGCGCTGTCCAGCCGCGTGGTCGCCGTGAGATCCCGCAGCATGTCCGTGGCCTCGGCGAGTCAACAGGACGTTGTGCCCGGCCCATGGATTTTCCAAGTTGAGGTTTAAAAGCTATACCAGCATAGACCCCAAACAGTTTCAAAACGATTCGTTTGAACCAATGTTAGGCGTTAGGATAGAACCTGAGCAATAAAATGTTTGGGGAAAATTCTGTATGGAACTAACATAGAAGTGAAGAAACCTCTTGTAAGACCAGGAAACATTCTGTCTCCGAGTCTCCAAAAAAAATATTGATTGTGGAATGCTGCTGAATGAGATTGGAGAAAATGTGCTTTCTTGGTCGTGTGATGCTGCGCTGCTTCGCGGTGTGTCTTCTGGTTACGGAGTGTCCGCTGCAGAGGCCCGCGGTCAAACGGTTAAATACAGGGGCACCGGGGGTAATGTTCAAAGGGTAAAGCACGGTAAAACGATAAAATGGTAAAGTCCCGATGTGACAGAAGCGAGGAGTAAAACGGAAAAACGGCAAATGTGCAAAATCTATAGCGGCTAAGCGATTTTCCGAAGGTCAGTCAAACTCATGGAGTGAGAACAAAATGAGAAAAGTCTCATATAAAGAAAAACAATGCGAGCCAATCTTGATTCGTCCACCGTAGAGCCAAAGCTGTTCGAAACAAGAGTCTATCTGTCTTGAGTTAAGACCTAAAAATCCGCATCTTCTCTTCAAGAAGGTGCACAGACTTCGTCAAGTTGTTGGCTTGACAATGCGCAGGCCCTGAATCCGAGTCGAGCAAAGCTGAAAACACATGGATTGAGTGATGCACAGATGCATTTTGGTGCTCTGTTACTTTTATTGCGAATCCACGTGCGCAAGTGAAACTAACAAATGTGGGCCGGCGGGTCTTGTTCTGTTTCCTTGCTTGTGGTGTTTTGCACACAGGCTTGATGACATAGGAAATGTACATGCGCATGCTGCTCTGTTGTGTTTGCTGGCTGTTTTCTACCTTTGCTGTTTTTGATGCACTCTAGGACACCACCGCGCGGGGTCAAATGGTAGAAACCGCAAATTGACCGATCATTTATATACCGATTTACTAATGTTTTCATGCTTTGGCGATGGATGGAATTTCCGATGTGCAGAGTGAAGTCTATCAATGCTTCGAATTGACCAAATTTACCGAATTGCCCTGACATGTGATGCCCCTTTAGGCTGAACAGAAGCGCGGGGAGCCGGACTAGTGACCTACATCTTCTGCGGCACGGCGAAATCGGCGAACTCAACGTCCCAGCCTCTAAGAAGGACGGGCGGCGATCGGCGTCGTCATGGATACAAAGCCTCAGACCGACGTGACGTGACACCGACTGGAGCGAGACTTCGAAGCGACAGACCGACTTCGGTCGGCGATTTCGCCTCATCAAACTCAGTCTTTCGCTTCTTTCATCAAACTCTGGAGGCCATTGCGAGTAGGTTGGAGGCCATTGCTAGTAGGTTGGAG